CTATGACTGCATGAGGCTTTGAGGGGACATCTAAGTCCAAGCCATAACAGACACTTGATCCACTTTGTCACAAAGAGCAACACTGTACCCCAAACCTTCCAAATGAGCTTTTCTACCTACTAAAAGAACGCTCATTGGTATTGACACCCTCCCACAGAGGGATGTGTGACAAACAGGCAGACCCTGGATCAGGGCATCCTGGCAGTGCTCATAGGGGAACCTGGCCATCAGTGCCATTTCCTGATGCCCTGGGGGAGAAACAGGCTCCAGCTGAGCATGGTGAATGTGTGAGGAGTGCTGCACCAGCTGGTGCCCTTCGTGTGAGCATACAGCATGGGCCAAAAATCAAAATGACACAAGAAAGCTGGGCTATCACTGTCTCGTAAATGAAACATTTACAAGGAATTCAGATCTTTAAACCACTTGGCAGGGGATTGCTCCTTGCCTAGGTGTCTCCAGACATATCTTCCTGTGCCACATGATTAGCGCTTTGGCATCGCCAAATATTAACAGTGTAAAGGTCGTGTTCTTGGGTCTGAGTTTTCCTCCTTGCCTTTCTTGCTTTGCTCTTTCTTTCCTTCTTTTACTTTCTTCCCTCCTTTCTGTCACACTTATTGATTAACCCTGGGGATGGATCCTAAGGTTTTGCACAGGCTAGGCAAGTGCTCTGCTCTGCCACTGAGGTACATCCTCAAATCCCAGTCTCAGTTTAAAACAAGCTGACACCTTTTACAAAAGGTGTGAGGTGCTGGAGACAGCGGCCCTGTCAGGCCCTGTCCTGCAGCCCTGGAGCCTTGAACTCAGGAAGCCTGGCTTCCCTAAGCACTAAGTCCGTGATCATCCCACTGTGTGGCTGAGACCTGGGTCCCACGGTCAGGAAGTGAGTAACTCGCCAGGGGTCGGGGCAGCGCCGCTGAGCTGCCTTCTGCACCTCATCTCCCCGCCTTCTCCTCATGCCTGCGATGCTCTGGCCAGGCAGAACCTGCTCTCGCCTTTGCTCTCTGTCCTCCTTCTGTCTTGGTGCAGTTAAATCTCCTTGCTGCCTGCCCTTCCACAGTAGGCTCTGTCTTCCCTGCATTTACCTAGGACCCTAAGTGGAGCCCTGGTTCCTAGCCCCGCCCCAGCCCCGGTCTGCAAATTCTGAAAATCAGCATTAATTCCTGAGGGGATGTCCGTAGCAATTCTGAACTTCTTTTTTCTTTTTCAGTACCAGGAATTGAACTCAGGACCTCATGCCTGTCAGGCAGGCATGGTACCACTGAGCTATATCCCCAGCCCTGCCTCTTTTTTTTTTTGAAACAGATACACACTACTGTCTAAGAAAGACTATGCTGAGCCAGGGAAATAGCTCAGCAGCACAGTGCCTGCCTGGCAAGTGCAAAGCCCTGAGTTTGATTCTCAGTACCAAAAAAAAAGAAAAGCAAGACTATGTTACCTGCAATGTAGCTGTACCTGCGTGCTTCATTTCCTTGGGGGACGTTTTGTTCCCTGCAGAAGTGTGTCTCACAGCCCAGGCTGTCTGTCCAGGCTGTGTTGTACGAAAGGACAAATAAAAGATGGCCCCAGTCGGGCTTGGTCCCCTGTGGCAGTGGGCACTGAGTGTGGGGATGAGGGTGCAAAAGCACAGAAGGCAAAGCAAGGAACAACTCTCCAAGCCTCTCCCCCTCTCTATAGCTCTAAGGGCTGCTCTGTCACCAGCCCTGGCCGCAGACGGGGACGCACAGGAACACAGAGCTGTGGCAACCTGCCCAAGGCCCCTTGGCTGGACAGGGCAGAGACAGGATTGGACTGCAAGCTGCTCCAAAATGAAGGAAGAACGCTGGTTGCTGTATGGTGAAAAGTCCATGGGGAACTTCACAGCGGCCAAAGTGGAGCTCTATTTGGGAAAAAGACATGGATAGGAAGATGCCGAGACCCAAAGGATGCAAGCAGTGTCCAACTGCTAGGCACAAGGCAAAGGAATCGTGTGCTTGCCTTGAGAAGGAGCAGGGAGATTAAAAAGAGAGTGAAGGGCCAGGTGTGGTGGTGCCTGTCTGTAATCCCAGCATTCAGGAGGCTGAGGCAGGAGGATCATTGTGAGGTTGAGACCAGCCTGGGCTACAAAGTGAGCTCAAGGCCAGCCTGAA